ATTAACACGCTCGTGAAATTAGAGCCTGCGTCGATATTTTGTATGTGTTTGAATAATTCATGCCTTCCCCGCTGCTCCAACACTTGCGGAAGACCAGTAAATATAAACATCAAACAAGATGTTTTTACATGCATCGCCTTCTTGAATATTGCATCATTTTATATTTGCCTGTAATTAAAATGCATTGAATATTGATGATTTGATTTGAGCCCCATTTGCATGAAGAGCGAACAAAAAAAGCATCTACGAACCTGAGGACAAGGGCATGGAGTATTTGTCAGTGTGGCGTCTGCGCATGGCGCCCATGCTGGGCACATTGGCGGGACTGAGGACATTGGGCACCTGGGGCATCTGGGAAAGGGGCGTGACTGGAGCGGTGGGCGTGGTGGGCGTCTGAGGTAAGTTGGGGGGCGAGACAGACGGGAGGTTCTTTGACATGGTGACGCTGGAGACAAGATTCAGCTGTAGAAGAGAGAGAGAGAGGGGGATTTAAACGAGTGCTGGCTCATTCCTACAGCTGTGTTTCCCCTAATAAGCGAAGGAGGAAGCAGCCAATCTGCACTAATTACAGGATGAAATTGTATCATAAGAATTCTAATTAGAGCACGCTGTTAAAGATTATCTAATGATCAGGCTGCGAGTTATCCCGACCCATCTCTATCCCATAAGAGCTCCCTGGATGCAAAACACACACGCGGTGAGAAGAACATCACCTGGCTTCCTGCCATAACCTGGTGCCTCGCTAGTTATCCATCTCGCTCTCTTCCTGTCTTACCACCCAAACACAAGAGTCAGGTTTTTTTTATCAATATGCACATATCCTCTGCTTTTTTTGTGTCCCAACTTCACCCGAGTGGAAAACCCTGACCTTTAGTCTCACCGTTAACTCCTTCAAATGGTAATGACATCATTACATATTCAAACCAAACTGCCTTAATTGCGAATTGGAAAGCAGAATTCCGGTGCTGTCAGAATAGAAAATGACCGCCGGTTGGACATCAACAATCGTTTGTGGCACGTGTTGATAAATACAATGAAATGTCAAGCCGGCTATTCTCAGGCGGCTGCTCTATAGACAATTACAGCTCCACTTAACGATAATGAGATAATGCCAACACAGAGAGTGGCATGCACTATACCACTTCGCGAGAAATCAATGACTCCTCTAGGGGAATGTTGTATCCTGGCTAATGACTGGAACTAAGACCTTGAAAGGAAATTAATGACAAAGACGCGTTGTCTACCAGAGGGACATCTTAGCAAAAGGGTAAGCAGTTGTGTTGTTGACATTACATTACATGCTAAGTAAATACTTGTGTCTTAAAGTCAATAAGAAATCAAAATTGACCCCTATTACTTCTAAAGGTGTTCCTGGTCTTATTATGAACAATTCGTTGTTGCACACTATAAAAAATAAAATGAAATAAAATAAAAGCTGACATTTTCTACAACAGATATTCTTTCATTTTGAATTTGATTAATTGTCACTGTTACAAAGCCCCCCCCCCCACACTCTGAAACATGAGAGACAAATAACGTGTTTGTGCTAAATTTATTGCCATTTGAATTCCCATCTTTGTCCGTGCTTGCAAAAATGCAGTTTGATGCATATAATACATTGTATAATTCGTCAGGGGCCGGGTCACGGCACCAGATTTGAGGATTGTCTCTCTTAATATCTTTCTCATTGCGGCCAAACCACCACATCAGCCCGTAATTACACACTACTCCTCTAAAAAGGTTTTGATACACTGTCAAACACTGCAAAAAAGCACTTCACAATAAATCCTATCAGTAGTGAGCGAGCGGGGAAACAGATAGAGAGTGTGCTGCATGTATATTTAAAATGTTAAGACAAGATTTTCCTCCCCTCTCTTCACCTGGTTATGGCAACAAGCGTAACATGTTTGCAGGCATACAATCTGGTGTTTGCAAAATGGAATTTATTAAAGCTTAACTGAGCAGGAGTGAATGAGACACAGGGATCAGCCCTTTACTACTGCTGCTCATCTGAATATATATTCAAGGTTGGCTGAGAGGAAAGGAAGGGGTTGGGAAAAAAGAGCCCCTCATTATTCAGGACTAGCAGCCTTGGTAACTTTGATTTTCAGCCATCCATGGCATGGCCAAAAGGTAACATTTAATGAAGTGCCATTCAGAGTTTAAATGGGGTCGTATAACAGTGTACCAGCACCTTGTGTTGGGCTACTGATAGCTGTTGAGGGTTTGCCGGTGCTCATTTTGTCGTGCTAATAAATTCGCACTATTAATATTTATCAAATGTGTGGGACGGTTCTCTGTCGGCCCTGTGTGCACGAGGGCGTGAAAGTAACGCCATATTATCTGTAACATCCTTTTTTGTGGGGAGGATACATGTGTTCTCTTTTGTACCTGCGAAACATTAAAGCATTTGCGTGAGCCCGACACTTGCACTAAGACAAAAAGGAATGAGCTGAAAAAAAATCGCAGACCCTCGCTGATTATTTAAGAACTCGCCATTAATTGCTCATCATCAAATGCAATTAGCAGTCCTTTCATGTGCGGTTTGTAATGTAATACTTCATTAATATTATTCATTCATATGCGGTCGTGGATTATAGGCTGAACGTTTTTTATTAGAGTCGATTTCACCGAGCTGCTGGAGTTCTGAGGATGAAAACGGGAAAAAAAACCCTGAATAATAAATCGACAGAGGTGAGCAGTCGATTCCTGATGGATTTACAAGATAATTATTCTGTCTTGTGATTATCTGCTTTATACGGTGGGAGGTGATGAGAAAAAATTATGCTGGTGAAATTAGCTACTTGCTAAGCGGCGGCAACACGCTAACAATGTTTTCCCCTGCAAAATATTGAATAGCTAATAAATAATTCCAATAAATAAAATTTATCACAGCCTACTCTCTTTTGTAAACACTTTAATTTCCAGCACAACACAACGTTTCTTTGTATTTTGCTTTTGATTAATGGTTAAAGGACATCTTTGAGTGAAATCGGATCCAGACAGATGGGCCGTTTTCATATATTGCTCCATTTTTCTCCAAATACACAGCTATATCTCTGAATGTTTACAGATTACGGGTTATTTCTTTACAGATAATCTTCTCGCAGTTTCCATCTATCATTTCAAACTGTTTGTTTTCTGAAACGAAACGTCTTCCCCCTACTTTAAGTGCGCCTGTGGTCGCGGTGCTAAACAGCTTTTACCGGCCAACAGGTTGTTTGCTGTGCTAAAGCCATCAAAGTGTAATGGCTCTGAGTTTTTGGCTGAGATTGGGTGTATGATTTAATGCTCTCTCGGTCCTGATAGGGTCCCAAGAAAGCAGGCATTACAAATCCCATTCTCCTCTCATCCTCCAGCCGTGTTTAGAGAGCACATTTACCATCCTGAGTCCTGTTTACTGTACGCGTACCAATATGCACTCACCGGTTTTGGTGATGGTTTGGGCTCTGAGGGCCTCATGTGCAAGTGTGCCATCATCGCCTGAAGACGCTCACGTTCTTTAGAAAGCTGTTAGCAGAAAGAGGGAGGGAGAGAGAGAAAAAAGAAAACAGACCGGTTTTAGAAATGAGTGATTTTCCCCAGACTACCACAGTAATACATCTTGTTATCAAGCTTGTCTGCTTGTAATAAATCCTGCATACGGCCCAGACCGGCTTCCTTAAGCTTGCCTCAAAGACACAGACATAAAGCAGTCGTTCTCAACCGGCGGATCGTGACACAAAACCAGCCAGAGGTCTTTTCTAGTGGGGTCATGGACAGCTGCAAAACAACAATGCTAAATGCAAATAAAAAATGCAATTAGCCATACACTTGAGTATAGTTAGGATAGAACAATAAACAGGCTTATCAACTTTTGGAGAGGAAACACATCATGTATCTTGACCACATCACATCTTCTCAAACAACTATTTCAGAGCAAGTTCACCTGTCAGTTGGCAATATGCAACATTTGTCTGTTTTATACATTTAAACAAAAGTTAGAATTTTGTCATGTGACAAAATTGTGGCCTATATAGGCCTTGGCAATATTAATAAACAGTATTAATAAATGTTTCCATATAGATCCTTGTTAAAATGCATTAGGCATCATGAACTATAACAACAAACTGTATTTCTTTACAGCATGTATTAATTCAGGTGAATATTAATTCTTCTTAAAGTTTAAAATAGATTAGTATGTGTGAAAATGTACATTATCCAAAATGAATAAATGCTGTAAAATTCAGGTATATAAACTTACTGCAAAGTGATTCCCTTTTATGTGTGATTTTTAGGACATCTTTGTTACTTTTAGATAAGAAGCAGCTTTGTACAGTGTTGGACGCTTGATGTCCTTGGGTTCTGAAGCAAAATCAGTTGAGAACCACTGAGAGCGAGAGAGAGGCAGATTAAAGCAAAGATAAGAGAACCATTCCTCGTGGTGCGGTGATGGAGAGCTGAAGGTGGTGCTCGGAGGTCACGGAAAACAAATAGCACTTCATCTTTTTGTCAATAGCAGAATTTAGGTCAGCAAAGCTCTGACAGTAACAAGCTACTCAGGCCATAAATTAGAGAGTCCTGGTCGGCGACTCAAAGTCCTGTGGACACTGTTAGGGCTGGACTGGATCTAGCAGCTGCAGAGAGGTGAAGGGGTCCCGCAAACAGAGTGCCAGTCGGTCCCGCCTCCCTGCCTCCTCCGAGGTCCAGTTAGTGCCCCGGCAATCTGTTATCATCAATCTAACTCACAGAGAGTGACAGGGACCGGCCCGCACGGCGCACCGCCTTGAACTCCGCCGGTGAGCCGGCATTCGAGCTCTGAACCGGGCCTCATTACTACTGACGGAGGACAAAAAAACGCCAAAAAGAGCGGAAAAAAAGCCCAGAAGGACAGAAAACAGCAGCTCTGCTGTAATTGCTCACAGTGTAAGCATGCCGACTTTGTGGTATCAGCGAACAAGAGAACAAGTCAAGGGAGAAATCACAATGTCTGTCTGTTATTTTACATATAAACAAGAATTATTCATTGTTCTGTTTCAAGAGCCCAACAAATAAATAGGGAGGGTTTTGCCGAGCGTAAAAACCTTTAAAGGTTGAGGGGAACGCTTGGCTTGCATTCAGATGGGCATCACAAATGCTTAGAGGAGCCACGGTCAGAAAGCAATCCGCACTGTTTGTTTTCTGAAACGAAACGTCTTCCCCCTACTTTAAGTGCGCCTGTGGTCGCGGTGCTAAACAGCTTTTACCGGCCAACAGGTTGTTTGCTGTGCTAAAGCCATCAAAGTGTAATGGCTCTGAGTTTTTGGCTGAGATTGGGTGTATGATTTAATGCTCTCTCGGTCCTGATAGGGTCCCAAGAAAGCAGGCATTACAAATCCCATTCTCCTCTCATCCTCCAGCCGTGTTTAGAGAGCTCATTTACCATCCGAGTCCTGTTTACTGTACGCGTACCAATATGCACTCACCGGTTTTGGTGATGGTTTGGGCTCTGAGGGCCTCATGTGCAAGTGTGCCATCATCGCCTGAAGACGCTCACGTTCTTTAGAAAGCTGTTAGCAGAAAGAGGGAGGGAGAGAGAGAAAAAAGAAAACAGACCGGTTTTAGAAATGAGTGATTTTCCCCAGACTACCACAGTAATACATCTTGTTATCAAGCTTGTCTGCTTGTAATAAATCCTGCATACGGCCCAGACCGGCTTCCTTAAGCTTGCCTCAAAGACACAGACATAAAGCAGTCGTTCTCAACCGGCGGATCGTGACACAAAACCAGCCAGAGGTCTTTTCTAGTGGGGTCATGGACAGCTGCAAAACAACAATGCTAAATGCAAATAAAAAATGCAATTAGCCATACACTTGAGTATAGTTAGGATAGAACAATAAACAGGCTTATCAACTTTTGGAGAGGAAACACATCATGTATCTTGACCACATCACATCTTCTCAAACAACTATTTCAGAGCAAGTTCACCTGTCAGTTGGCAATATGCAACATTTGTCTGTTTTATACATTTAAACAAAAGTTAGAATTTTGTCATGTGACAAAATTGTGGCCTATATAGGCCTTGGCAATATTAATAAACAGTATTAATAAATGTTTCCATATAGATCCTTGTTAAAATGCATTAGGCATCATGAACTATAACAACAAACTGTATTTCTTTACAGCATGTATTAATTCAGGTGAATATTAATTCTTCTTAAAGTTTAAAATAGATTAGTATGTGTGAAAATGTACATTATCCAAAATGAATAAATGCTGTAAAATTCAGGTATATAAACTTACTGCAAAGTGATTCCCTTTTATGTGTGATTTTTAGGACATCTTTGTTACTTTTAGATAAGAAGCAGCTTTGTACAGTGTTGGACGCTTGATGTCCTTGGGTTCTGAAGCAAAATCAGTTGAGAACCACTGAGAGCGAGAGAGAGGTAGATTAAAGCAAAGATAAGAGAACCATTCCTCGTGGTGCGGTGATGGAGAGCTGAAGGTGGTGCTCGGAGGTCACGGAAAACAAATAGCACTTCATCTTTTTGTCAATAGCAGAATTTAGGTCAGCAAAGCTCTGACAGTAACAAGCTACTCAGGCCATAAATTAGAGAGTCCTGGTCGGCGACTCAAAGTCCTGTGGACACTGTTAGGGCTGGACTGGATCTAGCAGCTGCAGAGAGGTGAAGGGGTCCCGCAAACAGAGTGCCAGTCGGTCCCGCCTCCCTGCCTCCTCCGAGGTCCAGTTAGTGCCCCGGCAATCTGTTATCATCAATCTAACTCACAGAGAGTGACAGGGACCGGCCCGCACGGCGCACCGCCTTGAACTCCGCCGGTGAGCCGGCATTCGAGCTCTGAACCGGGCCTCATTACTACTGACGGAGGACAAAAAAACGCCAAAAAGAGCGGAAAAAAAGCCCAGAAGGACAGAAAACAGCAGCTCTACTGTAATTGGTCACAGTGTAAGCACGCCGGCTTTGTGGTATCAGCAAACAAGAGAACAAGTCAAGGGAGAAATCGTGATGTCCGTCTGTTATTTTACATATAAACAAGAATTATTCATTGTTCTGTTTCAAGGGCCCAACAAATAAATAGGGAGGGTTTTGCCGAGCGTAAAAACCTTTAAAGGTTGAGGGGAACGCTTGGCTTGCATTCAGATGGGCATCACGAAGGCTTAGAGGAGCCACGGTCAGAAAGCAATCCGCACTACAAAGGCGAGGTGGCTCTTTGTGTGCAAAAACGCAAGGGAACAGCTAGATTTACATAAAAAAATAAGCACAGGCCGCAATTATTCTGCAAGCGAAACTGGTTATTTATTTGAAATTAACAGAAGAAAGATGGATTTTAACCCCGTGCACCGCATCCCATGATGCACCGGAAGGTGTGAGGCAAAGGACAGAGCGTTAACTGGCAGGAGAGATGGCCGCAGCGCTGAGTAATAGCATCCCTCAATCACTGCTCTCATTATCTCGCCAGCGTGACACCTTAATAAGGTCACGCTCCAGCTACTGAAAATAGTGGCTCTCTTTAGAGGTTCCTTCAGGTGCAAAGTGTATTTAATTAACACAGTCCAGCCCAGATGCACGCATATTAATCGGAAGGGATAGAAAATAAGCACAAACCATGATTCAATTATAAAGGCCTGTGATGGCTTTCACCTTTGTTGGGATGGATTTGCTCAAGGTCTCCCTTGTGCATTTTTTCACTTTATGCACTTCAAGTTTTTTATGGCAACAAGCTAATTAACAAAATGTTTGGTGTTATGCTGCAAAAAAGCAGTTAAAGTTGAACAAGTGTGTGTTAAAGACAACATGAAATCAAAATCAAGCAAAACATGGTACTGAACACCCACTTTTCACAATTCCATCAAAGCCTGATGCATAAAATCCAGTCTTGCTCTAAATTAAGGACTAATATATAAATAATGATTGTTTTCGAACACGTTTCCTGAACACTTCCACTGTCTGCCACTGGATAAGCAGTTAGCAGACAGTCCCGCTCGCAACCTGCCAATGCTTCCATTAATTCATTTATCAGAGGTTTTTATCCAAATGACATATACAATGTAAAGTTTGAAGTATACGTTAGTACACAAACTAGGTAAAGCTAAGCGGAGTCAGGTTGGTTTAATGTTTTGATAATGCAGCAATATTTTCAATTTGTAGAGAAATCAGCTTACAAATCACACATGCATTGTGAATGCCATTTCATGTTGTCTTTAAAGTAATAGTTCACCCAAAAAAGAGAATTCTGTCATTTACTCACCTTCATATTATTCTAAACCTGTATGAAACAAACCAACACTAAACCAAATTGACTTTCATTGTATGGACACCAAAACACTAATACATTTTTCAAGACGCATGCTTTTGTGTTCCACAGAGGAATGTCAGTCATACAGGTTTGAATGACATGAGGGTGTGTAAATGATGCCAGACGTGTCATTATTAGGTGAACTGTTTCTGTAAACGTGTATATGCTTATATTCATGTGTCTACTGTACCTGTATCTCTAGCTGTTGTACCACCTGCATCTGTACTCGGCACTGGGCGGTACTCCTGTCGTCCAGAGCGTGTTCATTGTTAAGGTGCCTGTAGGCGAACAGGAGAAACGGATGAGAAACCAACCCCTCATTCACACATACACAGGCTCAACTAATAATAGACGGTTGCTGTTGATCAACTACCACTGTTGTTGATGATTATGATTTCTGGATTACAGGACGTCCATCCCATTAGCTTTTAACAAACTGCCGTCATCTAACAAGTGTGTCCCGCGCTCGCTGAAAGCCGGTGTTTAACATCACAATAGCATGACTGTCATGCGAATGAGAGGCAGCGCTCAGAACACAACGGCTTATGAGGGATGTTGGCGTACAAAAGGCCTCGCGCAGAGGTTTTGTCTTCTACATTTATCAAGAAATAAATACAATAAATGCAATTTAACTCGAGTAACGTTTAAAAAGTGCCTCCTACGAAGAGTGCATTATTCCGTCGACATATTAAATGTATCTACTCATCCTTTCATTAGAATATTACGCAGAAAAAAACCCCACTTCAGACTGCAGGAGCAGTCAATGGCGGTTTTCCTTGATTGGATTTTGTCTGCAAGACACAAAAGAAGCCCGCCATTAAAATAGACCTTTATTCCCGGCGAACGCACGGAGGCGAAAAGGTTTTTAAAAGTGTTGTGATGTTCGGTAATGAGCCTCTATCTAAATTATCATTGGTGACAAACCCACAAAGCGCTCTTTTAGAAGACATGCTTGTGAAATGCCAATGCTGCCACTCTCTTTCCTGTAATTATAGGTTAGCTTGCAGACCCTTCAATGATCATTTACAGTACAGCCTCCAGTGCATTAGTGTTAGCTTAAATTGCGCACATACACTCGCACGCAAACACCCACCCATCCACACCGAGCTAGATTTAACACTACTAAGCATTTTCTCTATTCATTCTCTATTCATAGCGCAAGCTATTGTTTATGTGCAAAACGCAAAATAACAACGTATTCATAATCTTCCTCAAACACGCCAATCAAAGCAGAGGACATTTGAGAACACAATGGCCGCCGCTACCTTTCAATTACGCCCGTGCCCATTTAAAATTATTTCATTCCATCACGCCCGCTTTTGCTATTGTAACCGTTTCAGGTCTAATGCTCAGATATTCTCCATTATAAATCAAGAGTGAGATAGCTTTGAACATGAAAAAAAAAAAAGAAAAAAAAAAGGATGACTGGAGAGTCGGTGCCTTTCTCCGGCCCCATGCCTAATTGCTGTTTCAGAATGCGCATGCAAAGGAGCATTTCATTAATCATGTAATCAGGTCCCTCGCAGGGAACTAATGCTGCAAATACCCTTTTCATTTCAATGCTCATAATGCTATCTTACGCACTTGATGTATGGTGGATGTCATAAATTACAGTTGCTTCAAAAGCCATGACTGGCTAGTTCCGCCGTACCGACAGGTAGCTCGCTAAATAACACATCTAATCTCGCATGCCCCGTTTCTCATTAGCGGCCATCTAGATCTTAATCTCGTTTCCTTGTTTCTTTTAGGAACGTGAGGTTTTCTTTTCTAATGGAAGCACGTTCCCTTCTCCAAGAGTAAATACAATAAATGCAATTGTCAGAAAGTGTAAAATACTAGGTTCTTTATGCATTTTTGAAGATAAAGAGTCACAATTATCAAAAATAGTCATAATTTTGAGATATATAAGCACAGATATGAGAATGCCACAAGTCTGAGACATGAAGTCGCAACTGTGAGATACAAAGTCGCAGTTGTGAAACACCAAGTCACAATTGAAAGATACGTTGCAATTATGTGTAAAAATAAAGGAATTACTAAAATAGTCCCAACTGTTAGACACAGTCAAAAATTTAGAGGAAAAAAATAAGAAAATGGGAAAATATAAAGTAACAATTGTAAGATATAGTCACAATTAATAGAAAAAATAAATTGTGTTACAATTATTATAAGAAATAAATTGTTATAAATTCAGTACCAATAGTGTAAGCTTTAAAGTCACAATTATGAGATAGTAAGCAGCAATTCTGAGAAATGATGTCGCAATTACCTTTTTTAATAGCCAGCAGAATGAAATACAGCACAACAGCGTTTTAAGCGAGTGCTAACGTTAGCGAGAGCTAGTTAGTGCTGGTGATTACATCCAGATTACTGCATGGCAATGAAATATTCAGACAGTAGGTGTTTGACTATGCATTGATAAAAGCAGGGGGCTAGAGGGGGGTTAGATGCAGTCACCAATATCTCTTAATGAGCCTGTGGCGCTGGGTTTAGTTCAAACAGAGAGGTGAGAGGAGAATGAGACGGGGCCGCCAGCTGAGCAAACATCTCTGGAGCCGCCTGTAATTTATGGGTCACTTTATAGGCATATTGATTTTTGTTTTGAGATGGGGAATGAGGGCTCTGATGGTCTAAGAAACAGACAGACAGGTACGCAATGGACTGAGAAGTGCATCGAAAACCACAGACAGAATGAAATCATCTGAGTTAAAGTAGGAATTACTTAGGCCTTTCCAGCCAACATGGACCAATCAAATAATTTCGCTAATTCTCAAATGACTCGCAATTTCTAAAGGACTCATGACCTTCAACTGTACATGGGTTTGATTAATCTAACCTGGGACTTCCTGTTGGCTTTCATTAGCGCCCAGTTTAAGACGTAGCACTCTAAGTGGCGGAAGCTCGGCAGGTCGCTTCACCAGTATTAAATGTTAAATAGGTGAAAAGAACGATTAATTTCCCTGCATTAGAACGGGGAAGAGTTTGTTTATTGAGATACACAATCTCATATTGCGTCCACATGGGAAAGATGCTACAGCAAATGGCAAGCCTGCGTTGACAGTACGTCAATCTTTATTACAGGCCAGCGGGTATGTCTGTATTTTTCTCTTCCAACTCATCCTGACTCTTCTCAAACATGTGAGAGGAAATCAATAAGAGAACTAGGGCAGCAATCTGGAGCTTAAACAATAACAAAATCGCCTGCGTGGCAGAACAACATTAGAACGCTATGAATTCATTAGCCCCCTCCTTTAGCAGCACATAACCCCCAAATAAGTTGCATTAATACACACGTCTCGAGGCTTACCCACGTGCTTGCACGCACATTCACGCACGTCTATTTGAACTTCAGAGCTAATATAAACGTGCCAGGCACCTCTTGCCTACCCCTCTACTGGTGCACCGCGCATGAAAGAGCGCAAAGCTGCGCTTAAATGCTGATCTTGACAACTTTCTCAGCAACACAATAAAGATTACAAAACCGTGGCTGGTTTCTTCTCCGCAAGCTACAAGCCCGCGCAGGTTGGGTGAATCCCTCCGCCCCCTGCTTCCCCATCAAAGGTGCCATTTGAATCTGACACCTATTTTATGTAAACCATTTTAAGCGTGTGTACCTGGATGATACGCAGCAGTGACTGGCATCTCCGAACGACATTAAAAGCTTCTTTCTGACACCGACAATCGCTCCTCCAAGGCACAGCGCCACCCGCCATCTCAGATCACGCTGCCTTTTGTGGGAGCGTTTTCATGTACGAGTTACAGTACGGGCGTCTCCGACTCTGGGTGTCTTGCCCCCATTTCTACGAAGATTTGGAGGATGATTGCTGTAATGGCATCCTACTGCACAGGCTGTCAGACAACGAGCGTTTTTATTTAGTTCTCTTCAACCATTGATTTGCATACCAGCTGAATTTGGCGGGAAATGATCACATGACCTCTGATGTATGCTGTGCCACAATAAATGAACGTCAATGGGCTAGACGGGGATAATTAACCCTGTACTTTGAGGTACATGCAGTCTTTTGGTTGACAGTCATGACCAACTAGTTAAATGGTAACACACTCAAAGGCGCTAAATTCTTGACTTGTTTGGAGTGGACTCTTTAGACTGTGTCTAGCTGGTTTATAAAAGAATAGAACGACGTCGCCACTCTCAAAAGCCGTTTACAAGAATTGACGTGGACAATTACACCCACCAAACGCACCAGATTATTATTTCACAGTTAATTACGGATCTAATTAGAATATTCAAATGAACCCTTTTCTCCATTCTTTGATGGTGAGGCTCTTTCCTCGGAATGGCAACGTGATAACCTGCAATCTCCAGCACTGCAAACACCTTCTCCTTTGATGTCCCCCCTCTTGCGTCGCGGCAACAAAGCCGACCAATTACAAATGAGCTAATTAACTAAATTGTTGATGGAGCATGAAGAGTTCATTTCACTCCGTTAGTTGCGCCATGACAACACCGCATGGCTATGTGGGTTGCCATTAGCTTCTGCCGCTCAACACCAGCCCATCATCCACTCACGTAGCCGTGGAGATGCACGGTCATTTCTGAGCACCACCTATGATGGGCTGACAGGTGCCTTTGAGAAATCTGATTCACCATCCGTTTTGTGGATTTACAGCTAAGTGCGAGAACTGAGGTATGAAAACTTTTTAAATTGAAAACGTAACAACTAAGCATCTAATAAGCATTAAAATAGAGACATAAAGGGAAAACAGATAAATTACTGCTTTAGGCCAACTGAAATTTTTTAAGCACTTATGATCTCTTGATGATCACTTACTTCAAAAACTGTCCAAAGTCGTCACAAATACTTTCACATCCTGGCCACTTGCACACTCCATGACCATAGAGGGAGTGTGATGCTCCGGTCTCTTCATGCAGCGAACTGAAAGAGAAATAACGAGCATTAAAAATGTGGTGGAAAACATGGTGGTGGTACCTGTCAGGATACTATGACCAAAAGTTGGGTCAAACCGGCTCAATTTGGTGGACTTGATGCTCAGAAAAGCTGAAAAAACACACATGCTCTCCCCTCGACATCACGCCACCTTGTGATTATTGATCCAGAGTATTACTGAGGAGACACGAGTGTGTTAAAAAACAAATGGCCTGGCCAAGTAAAATCACCCGTCAACATTTTTTCCACAGACTTTCACCTTGTAAAGCCATTACGGACAACTTGTGTAAACAGCAGAAAACCGGCCCCTGCGCTTTAATTTTCACCAGGAGATTCATTTGCGGTGGAACAGGCGTTTTTAAGGACACAACCTGTTGTGAAAAGACATTGCGGTAAGTTACAACCGCCAGTTCTAATGGTGCTGAGGGGCTAATGTGCGAAAGTGAGGCTAAGCAGACCAGCACGGCGTGTGTTTGTGTGCGGCACACGCTCACACACACAAACCTCACCGGCTGTTTTACCTTGCCGTTATCGATCAAGCACATCTTAGAAAGCAGCTGGCTTTGACAACACAACACACTCCGTGATTACGAACGACCGTGGACCCGAGAGACTCCGCCAACACACGAGAAAAGAGTCTTACCTATTTCTTAAATTATTTCCCTGTCTCGCTCTCTCTCTCGGTTTTTTCCTTTTTCTTCTCTGCCTCTAAAGATATCTCTCTCAAGAAAGGGCTTTCTGTGAAGACGCTACGTACTTGAAACCAATTACACAACACATCCACCCCCAGTGAAGTCAGCGGCTGTTGCTATGTACTAACATATGGCCGCTACAGACTGAATAATACATGGAGAAATATGCGAATCTATGTCTTACAGCAGCTGCGGAGCGTATAAATGGGCTGTCGCGTGTATAAACGATCAGGAAATGCCACACCGGCATAGTGTATTCTATTTACATGACAAGCCGCGCCAGCAAAGCAATTTCAAAAGAAAAGCTAGGTATTAAATACTTAATGTACATTGAGGTGAGCTGTGTGTTCCTGCCACTGAAAGTTGCACCTCCATGCGTTTGATATACCAGAAGGCACTGCGTACAATAGCGCGCTGTCTCGTGGGAGGTTTCGTCTCATTTCAACTGTTATCCAGACATTAATAAACTATTGATGAGCAAACAAACAAAAACACACAGCCCTCTCCCTGCAGGAATGAGCATTTTCCTTTTGCAAATGGGGACAAACACATCAACTGTTCTTTCCGTTTTTCATGTCGCACATGAAAAATAGTTTAAACGGCTGTTTGGTTTGTGTTTGTTAACATGCCTTTGTGTTCATGTGCACACAAGACCCTTTATCGGGAGGTTTGTGATCACGTATGTCTGAAAAGGGATTTGGAGTTTGTGTCGAGTGAAAAAGAGAAGAAGCTTTTATCCAAAGTGACTTTAACATAGCTAATCCAGCTGGATCTCAAGGAGCCAATGGTGATCAGGTAAGCGGAAGGATAAACCAGTGCCCCTCCGATTAGCTTTGGCATGCATGTGTGCATGTTAGAGTACCTCTCTCTCCGGTTGTTGAGGGCCGGGGACTGGCCGTTGGAGATGCAGTGATGGGTGATGGGCGGAGAAGCTTTGGGGTTGCTGGTGGAGGTAGTGGACAAGTTGTTGGTGGTGCTCAAGTCCAGGCCGCTATGTTTTAGCCCATTGTCCTCCATGGCATGGCTACTGGTGACGTCTTTCCAAAGTTGCTGGAGTTCGGCAGGGCTCAGACCAGCTGGAAGAGAGTCACAAACAGGTTTACAGACACAATCATTCACGAAACTCTCATCATGAGCTCCCATCTGCCCTTTTCTAACAAGGTAGGTAAACCTGTTCTGCTCTGCTGCGAAACTTGAGCATCACACTTCAGCATCTGGAGATAAACCGGCACGAGATCGACCTGGACGCTCATCCCTCGCTTCGTTTCCGTGGTATCCGAAAGTGCAAAGCAACCAGGAACTCATCTGCACATGATTATGCATTCATAAACAAGCCTCTGTGTGCAGAATCAAATCATCATATAATCCCTTGGATGATAAAATGATTATTCCGCTTCATGTCGCCCCGGCTATACTCCAATTAAGAGCCATTTTCAAACTATTGTCATCCAGCGCCATTTCGATAAACACAGTAGCACCAGGTGTTTGTTCCAGGAAAAAAGCAAATGGCAACAGCTCGTCTTCCTCAGAGCTCTGAGCTCGCACTGCGAGTTCGTAAACAACAACAACAGGCAAGGAGGGGAGGGAGAGAGAGAGAGTGAGAGAGAGAGAGGGGGAGAGAGGAAAACAACAAGCACACAGACACAGGCAAGAGAGAAAGAGAACTAGCGGAAAAAAAACTGAAATGGCAAGGAAAATGCAGCAGGAAACCAAAAAGGGAGGTTTAAAAGAGGACGCAGCCACACACGCACGCTCTCAGATGATCACGTGAGGACTTTACCTGGCGGCAGAGTCTGTCCGGGGAGGGTGGGCTGTCCTGGGCCGGGGGGCAGAGAGAGGAGGCCCTGCCTCTGCATGTTGAGCAGGTGCTGCTGCTGCTGCAGTTGCTGCATTTGCAAGAGCTGCTGCTGAAAGACCAGCTGCTGTGCTGCCAACTGCTGCTGCTGCTGCTGCTGCTGCTGTTGCTATAGTGAGAGAGAGAGAGAGAGAGAGAGAGAGCGAGTGAGCATACACACACTAATCACACACATGGACGAGAAAGTGTGTTTGGTTATACATGTGACCCAAGTGAAACCTAGTCGTCTCGTTCTCTTCGCCTGTTTGCGTGGACTGAAATCTGTGTGTGAGATGCGGGTGGGAGGGTGTGTGGAGCCCCCTCCTTCCGCCATTGATAGTTAACTGTCTTGCATTTGTAATGGTCCATTACAGCTTATGGGGCCACAGGGAGGGGGTGACGGAGGGAGAGAAGCTGAGCGAGATTTACAGCACCCACCCCCCCATCCCCTCCCGAGCCCTGTTTACTGCCAGTGGAGCCTCTTGCATAAGCTGGCGAAGACAACAACAAAAACAACAACAACAGCAGCAGCGGTGACGGAAACCACAGAACAAAAATGCAGCACTTCAGTGATCAAAGCACAGCAACTGTGCTTGAAATCTTTCCATAGATAAAAATAAATCTGTAAAATCAGGTAAACGTTGATGTTTACCTGCGAACAAAAAGGATTAGCAAAATCACAAGTGAACAAAACACCCATATAAAACATTTTTTGTGTAAAACGTTACACATGACAAAAAAAAAAAAAACTTCAAACAAAGCATTTAATTAAGTGAAATCAAACTGAAAATCATAGTATTTACAGTAAATATTTTCGTACATTGGATCTTTCATGAAACATCAGCTATGAACATTTTGCATAAACCGTCACATACAATATGGACATAAACTTGTAAAATAGATACACATTAACGTTACAAAATAATTACTGAACTAAGTTAAATTAAACAACAATTAGCTAGTCCAAATCACTAAAGAGCAAACATTTGGGCCTCATTCATGAAACAGCAGATGAAATTTGTGTGTTAAATTGTTTGTAAAACCATTACTACATAAATCGTTGTAAACAGTTTACACTTTTACACAAAAATGTATTCTTCTCATATTTCATAAATCAGGCCCAAGACATAATTTTATGTCATACTAGATTGTAATACCATTTTTATGTAAATTGTCATATATGCAAATTCATTCTGTTAGTGAATGAGGCTCAGTGTTTGTATAATTTCGTATGTGATGAAACGACAAGACACCGTTCTTTAGTCTTGGCTGTTCGGAAATGTAAAGTGGTGTAGTAGTTGCATTTCCATGTCGTACAGAATCAATTTATTAGCTGTTTTTTAGGAGGTCTGGCTTAAAAATGACTGAAGTTTGCTTCTGTGGACAAAGTCTCCAGAGGTCCATTAGCAAACTGAGAGCTAGTTTCTGCTGAGACCCTGTTAGCTTGAGCTCTCTTTCTCTCCCATCTGCTTTCCCTTTCCTCTTCTCCTGTCAGAATACATTACAACCTACTCAGTGACAAGAAAGCAAAGACCCCCATTACAGGAGGAAAGTTAAACTTCCAATTTTTGCTTGGAATTACACTAGCGGTAGGACTGAGCAGACTCCAGAGGAAGACCTTCAGTCAAGAACGGTGAGGAAGACCTCATTCCTTTAGTTTAGGGATGAGAGAGCAAGAGAATGAGAGGCAAAACTTGTGATGCGCTCACTGGAAAACAGACTGCATAATGGAGTGAGCCGTGCGGATTGGCCCCACAGTCTCGTGAGAAATAAGGGAGCAATTTCTATTCCATATTTGATGGCAGGGGCCTGAAAAAAAATCTATTCGCAAATCCAAACAGAAACAAAACCTTCGGGAGGTCAGTCCTGCTTTCTGTAGGCCCTGCATAATGGCTTGCTTGAAGAGAGACAATGGTAGAAGGTGCTAGTTGAAGAAACTGCTGGGGGCGGGGGACATTTCCCGTCCACGATACCTAGCTGATCAATTTAACTGCTTCCGCACGTTTTGTTTGGGTTGCCGCCCCCCTCCTTGGCGCGCTTCGCTTTTTGATGCCTGCTCCTGCGTGTCAGGAATCCTCAGTCTCCTTCTGTCTGTCTGTCAGATGGATCCACGGTCTGACTGTCAGTTTGATTTATGAGCTCGCTGCAGTCGAACTTTTCTGCTCATCAGCCCAAACTCACCGCGGTGGTTCATTAGCGAACGGACCCTGCGCGGTACGCTAAAGCGGGCATTTTAGCGTCAGTGTAACTCTGAATTGCCGCGAAGGACGGAGTTGAGACACCTGACAATGTTGTCTGCCTAATTTTAGCTCTCTACATCGTTTGGTAGCATTCAGAAGAATTTTCCTCTGTGGTAAAAGAGCGTAATGACAGCACAGACTGATTTACAAGTCGCTTGTGGTTGGCGAACGCAAGGAAAACCATCACTTTGCCTCTTACATGTGTATTTTGGTGTGTTTATCGTACCTCTTTCACTTGTTTTCCTGGGTGCTGTTGCTGCAAAAGCTGTAGATGGAGTTGCTCCTGTTGTTTCTTATAAAACTCTTGCAGGTGCTGCTGTGGAAAGACATGGACATTCTCTATTACAATGTGTGGAAAGCAACAGATCATACAAAAGTGTAAACGCTTAGAACAAATGCGCTAACCGCTAGGCTAATTTATAGCCAAAAACCATGATTGTTTAGGGGTTTAAAATATTTCATAGTACTTTGTGCTTGTTTCCCTTTTCCCATTAAGTTTGTTATTAGAACATTTGCACTAACCACTAGGAGCAGATGCAGTTAATGTAAACACTCTCAGAGCAAATGTGCTAAATGCTAGGCTAAAGCTGTGACAAAATAACCAGTTGAGGTATATGGCTTAAAAATTTATCTAAATATCAATGTATTTCCCTTGTTCTATAAAGTTAAAGTGCTTTCACTAACTGCTTGGAGCAAATACAGCTTCTAGAGCAAATGCGCAAACTGCTAGGCTACATCTGCGACAAAACAGAGCAGCTGTTGTATATGGCTTGAAAATTTATTTCCCTTCTCCCACATAAGTATGGCCGTACCTCAAAGCAGAGCTACAACAGAACAAACAGATTCGCAGCCGACTCCGGGCTCCTGAGGCCGCACGACATGCCTGGATGTGCTTCTGCATGTCACATCATAAATAACATCTCTCTCCGGTCGAGACAAAGAGACCAGCACTTCCCCTCATCGTGCGTCTCCATATGGACTTTTATGCGGCTGCACATTACCGCTAGAGGAACAATTAATCTTAATGCCTATATATTTTTTCCTCTCTGATGCCTTGACAGGCAGTGAAAATCTGAAATGAATGTGAAGCACTCAAAGGAGAGGATTCATCATTGTGAATTAATGCATTTAGCACACTTCTCTTCTTCTCAGAGTGCTGTCCTCAGGAGCTCATCGTCGGAATACAGGAGCCAAGCTCTCCCGTCTCGTTCAGCGGGAGACGTCTTCAGCACAAGACGCTCGTCACCGTTTATACAGACCTAATTATAATCAAGGCTAACTGAGTTAATGGAGATGTTTTTAATGAAGAGCTCACTCTGAGATTTTAAAATCACTTTTGAAGATATAATCTACTCTTGTCAGAGATGTGGTCTAGTTGTTAACTCACATGCTACGATATTATGTGGTGCTCATGCGGACAATCAAAGTTTGAGCTGTTTTTCCTAATCATTTCATGTCCTTACATTACTACGGCTGCTGAAAAATCAGCTTAAACCCGGTTTGCTGGTCTTAGCTGTTTAAAAATAGTCTCCCAGCCTGGGCAAGCTGGTGGGCTAGCTGGTATCCCAGGTTGACCAACTGCACATTAACTGCCTGGTAAGGAAAGGAGACCAGCTGAGATCAGCTAAAACAGTTTAGGCTGGTTTACAGTCACAAAAGACCAAAAAACAAATATAGCATCTACAAATGTCATATATCTACTATAGCTACTTCAGCTAACATGTTGATAGTTTAACTAACTTTAACAAACTTGCTCAATCTTCAAACTGCTGCTTCATTATGATAAAAAGGAAAACCTTTAGAAGGAGTGAAGAATGTAGGAGAGCATGAATTTGAAAGTTCACTTTATCAGCTATTACTGCAACAATAAAAACGCGATGCGTCTTGCAATGCGGATACATTAATGAACCAAACAACACGTGAAAGCAAGAGTTCACGTACAGCTAACTCTGTTTGACTTTCTTGTTTCAGTGCTCCATTTGTCCCCAAAAGACGTCCCCACTGAAAACAACTAATTACATGCCTGTCCGTATTTAGTATGTCAAGGACAGAGAGGATCTGTATGCTACCATTTCAAAACATGACTGCATATGGGACAGTGAGTAAGAGGGTGTTTATGTGTGTTCACCTGCTGAAGCATGACTGCTTGTTGTTGTTGTAGGAGGGCTTGGAGCTGTTGGGGGGAAAGGACCTGCTGTTGAAGGATCTGCTGCATCTGTTGGGGTGTGATCACCTGTGGACTCATCATTGCCACAGACACTGGCACCTAAGAGAGACGGAGACGGAGACGGAGAGAACAACACATTAGCCATGTCTCGTGAAAACTCTTCAACTGTAAAGTCATGTGCTTCTCGAACTCTCTGGAAATGGTGCGAGTGCAGTATATGTAGCCATTTGGCAGTGCATGTGTACTTTCTTACTCTATATATTTTCTGTCAGCTACTCCCAACGGGGAAAGCATTGCGCTTTAAATAGAGGAGGACCTTAATTAGCTGAACACTTCAACTCCCTCAGGCGATTTCTAGTGCTACAACACACAAGGCAGGCAGGAAGACGCACATTTCCAGAGCCGACTGTGGGTCGTAAGCGGACACATGGCCTGCTGAGGAGCAGCTAAGCTAAGTAGCATAGATTCAGGCTGCCGAGGGTTTGAAGCTTTGAAAATCTGTGAGAAACTCCTGATTGAAGCTGAGCTGCTGTGAAGTATTCTGTTTTACAGAGGTGAGGGGAATTACCAGTTGCCTCTCGCTGCGCATTGAAGTTTCCAAGCTGCACGCTTGGAAGAAAGCAGCCAGAGGCACAAGTCTTCCACGAGATGTCATTTTAAAAAATTCATGTCATTTTTTAAATGATAAGAATCATTAAAATACCAGCTGTCAAACTGTGCGAGAGAACTTTTTTGGCTAAAAAAAACCAAAAAGAAAATATTTTCGCAACCCAGCATTAAAATAAAGCAAGTGAGTTTTCTGGAAACATGCAACATTTACATTAATTTGGCTCGATTCTTCGCTCGCGTCTCAAACTACACAATGAACAGAATAAAAATAATTGCCAGACAAATGCTATTTGAGAAAGACAGAAACAATTTTCCTCTCCTGGACGCTGCACCTGTCTACAGCTGACTCTTCAGGGCATTCTTTGTACTTTATGAAGCATGCTGCATGTTGCATTGTTCAACAGAGCAGCTTCGACAGATGACGTCTATCATCAAGACAGGCGAGCCTTCGGCGTCATGACAGGTAAACATCTCTATTGTTGTGGTTTCTGAGCTTGAGAAAAAGACGTGAGGCTCCATTAGATGTCGCGAGGGGTCTGAGTGACTCCTCGCGCCGGCTAATCAAGACTGCTTGATTGCTTTCCGTACGTCTGAGCTCTCAGGGCCTTGACACGTCCTTGTTTTAGTCTCCTGGCTCGGCCCAGCTCAGGTTCCCCTCTTTGATTAGCAGAGACATTTGCATGGTCACTACACATTTTTCATTTTAGAAGTCATTATGCATTAGCGCTCCTGAGCGCCGAGCTTGACTAATCCTGATGAACTGAGTAGCAGAGCTGAAGGTCACACTCCATCCCCACTCATATTCATATTCAAACAATTCCAAGCACCATTCTTCATTAGACTGGCCCCAAAACTCAACGAGCATCACCACCACGGAGGGAAGCGCACACACAAATACACTTTCTTTCTTACTGTCTGTCTTTCTTTGGGGAGAAAAGGTGTGACGAGGGAGGGGGTATCGGAAGAAAAAAAAAACAAAGGAACAAAGCAACAAAGTCACAAATTAAACAGCTGCATGTAATTATGCAAATGTATGCTTACACCTTCAATGTTATTAAACCTTAAGACACATTTGGGATGTGTAATTACCCCCAGGTTCAGCCAGGGTTCTGCGCCGGCCTAAATGACAATATAAAGACCAAAGCATGAAAATACAAGAGGAGATGTTCTCATTACGCCCATTATTTGTATATTTAAATGAGCTATGGACTGAATAACGAACGATCACCTCGCCTGCACTGTGGCTCGGCGAGTACAATAAACATGTAAATTTCACAACAATTCGCTAAGTTTATTTATCGACCAAAGCTGACTGTGTGTTGTATTTTCGCCTCGAACTTGCCTAAGAGAGACTCGAAATGACAAAGGCGACAAGAAATAAAATGAAATCAGGATATGCCCCATAGCCTCTCATTAGCTTTTTAGCAGATCGACGGATGATACGCATCTTCATTTCATCACTTTTCCAAACAAAAAAGACGAGACAAAGTTGAAGTTTTGGCCCACTCACTTCGGAGTCGCGCACAATGCTAATTCCAGCATTTAATGCCGGCATTTTCTGCATGATATATCAGAGCTTGAAAGATGAAAGCAGATAAGTAATTGCTCTCCTGGTTCTTATTCTTAACTGACAACCCATAAATGTAATTTTACACACACGTTCATTTACATTTTCAAGTATATGACATGATAATTGGCGGAATATAACACCTCCATTCCGCGGGATACTGAGGGGGGCGATGATTGACAAGCTGGGTGAATTGAAAGGAACAGAGGCTGAATTGCTTCTCCCCGAAATGATTTCGCCAAGACGGGGCATAATTAATGAGCGTTTGCCGAAGGGTCGAGACGCAAACAGTCACAGACAATGGGTCTTTTCCCTCGCAGGATGCCAGATGAAGAATATGACTGTGAGAGGCAATGATGCAACCCAACGAGTGCTAGAAAACTTCACCGATAATAGCATTCTTCATGAATCAAAGCATCAACTTCAGTCGTCTGCACTTGAAGCACTTGCGCTGTGAGAAAATTTACTTACAGACCATCAACTGACATCTGTTTCTCACTCTCCTTTTAAACAAGCACATCCAAAAATGGCAATCCACGAAGCTTTGATTTCTATTGGAAAACTACAAATACAAGCTGATCTCCATTGACCTGCTCTTTAGAGCCATGAGGCTCAGCACCTAAGAGACAGCAGAACAAATAGCTTTAAATTGGTCAGTGATGAGAAAACATCAGTGGCCCTCCTGAAGAACGAGCAAATCATTACAGGGCTCTCGCTATGCCAAAACGGGTCTCGACGGTCAACTCCACATCATAAAAACGAAAAATGCAAGACTTGAGCCTTTTTACAGTACCTGAAAACACAACAAATGTCCCATTGGTGTATTTCCAGCAACAGCAGCTGAGAAAGCCATGTTAAATAACTATAATTAATATAAGTGCAAACTAGCAAAAGTAGGTAGTAAGGAGTGATTTGATTCTCTCGATGAAAGAAGTTTCTGAATCAGACGATTCAGGCTGAACGTGCTGAATCATGGGGCCACTTTAGAGAACCACTTGCCAGAGATACTTATGTTCACCAATTTCTTTCATTCTCAAGGAATGGGGCTTTTCTTGGACTTCGGAAAGGATCCCGACCTTCCACTTTGGTAAAGCTAGGGTTGCTAATTCAGTCAGTAATAAAAGGTTTCACAGTCAAGGGTTTATTGATGGAGTTGCTTTACTTGGGGACCACCAATATGCACACTCACTGATTTGTAAGTCATTGACAATATAAACACATACTTGCGCTAATCTAAACCTGAAACACGCTAACATACATACACACATACTCACACAGTGATCGTTTGGATTAAAAGATCAATGCGGATGCTCTCTGGGAACAGTTAATTAGATTACAGGAATGTTTTCCTATATCAATTTATTTTACAGTTCAGCTAAACAGTATGGGAAGTGTAATGCACTTCAAATGATGATAGAGTGGATGTGGCCTCTGTTAGAGCTAACAGGGGTACAATGGATCTTCCACACAGATTTAGATAACCACACTTTCATTTTTGTCAATGAAGGGAGGGATCAAATGCTTACTACAGGAAGTTAAGCCTAATGTGCTTTCCAAAGGGAACTACGAGAGGAAGAGTAGAGCTCATGCCATAAAACCGCTCAAAGAAAATCAACCAAATGTGATCTTCAAGAGTCTGTAAGATAAGAACAAAGTCTACACGAGTCTGAAAGTTGTCTTCCTTTGTTTTCCTCAAATATGTTTCTTACCATATCTGAAACGGAGCATCGTGTGGCATTTAGAGGGAAATCGGTCTCTCTCGCTCGCTCCGCATCAGCCCCCTCCTCTTCCCTCTCTTGAAAGCTTTGTGATGTCGCAGGTAATAGGGAGTCTGTTGGATCGCTCCCCCCGTCAAGTGACACGCAGTAAATTACACAAGCTTCAAGCAGCTCGCTGAATTATAGTTCATCAATTGGAAAGACTTCCCACCACCGGGCTACACGTATCAGATCTGCCAGTTAGGATCCAATTAACACCCTGGCCAGAGTAATCAGACTGCATGTGTAAGGGCTGCTGGAACTGGTTTATTACTCCCATGCATCTTCTGTCAGAAGGTACAGTTGTTGCTTCTACATCAAAGCGGTGCTATGGCACAATTTTTTTCCCCACTCCCACTGTTCCACTGGTTCTTGCCTAAGGGTTGTGCTTCAGCTTCCTTTGCATTGCAATGTGAGCCCCTGCAATTGCAATTTACAGACGCTGCCCACTAGTTCAGGTATCCGGGGTAAAGAAGGATGCTTTCCTGATTACTAAACATCACAAATCTGAAAATACAGTTTTTCCCTCCTCCTTCGTTTTGGAGTAGCTGAACTTTGAAAAACTTGTTGGAATTTGAACTGAATTGGTCATACCTCACAGAAAGCTGAAATGGAATTTTAACTGGAATGCTCAGAAAGTGCATTCTAGGCAATCTAAACACAAACCTCTACCAATGAGGCCTATAAACTTTCAAACTTCAATGCTTTTTCAACTTTTCTCAAAACTTTCCATCACTTTTAAGTTGTAATTCTGTTCTGTTTCCTGTGCCAGTTTTGTAGTTCCTTTGTTCACTGGTTCCCCTTGATTGTCTCCCCAGTTATGTTTTGTCTTCTTGTTACCCTCATTAACCCAGCCTGTATAAATATCCCGTGTGTTTCCGATGTTTCTTGGTTAGTTGCTGGATGTACATACTGTGGTTCCCTCCTTTCCTTCCTTCTTTTTATTTAAAGTCTTGAATTTAGATCCACATCTTACCTGCCATCCATTGCTTGCCACGTTACACTAGTTAAGTTACAGTGTTATTGACTTCTTTGAATGTCATTTTTTTAAAATTCATTCTTGCATTCAAATTCCAATTGCAATTCTGCACTCTGTTTTTTTACCTCAATTCAAATTCACTTCCAATCAACTGAATTTAAAAGGCCTTCCAAATTCTCGTCTGAATGGCGCACAACCCTACTGTTGGGTGAATGCTGTTAATAATCTGTTAATATGAGGGCACGAGTTTCCTTTTATAAATTCCGCTGGCTTTGTGCACGGTTCCAGTTGGCGGTCTGAGTAGATGAATTTTAAGGAACATGGCGCAGGAGTCTGACGCTCAGATGAGCTGTGCGTTGCTGACCTTTAAATCGGCGACACTCGGAGGATGGCTCACTGGTCAGGAAGTGATTGGGTTGAGCTATCTGCTACTTCTTTCTCGTCTTGGAATACACGCGAGCAACGAGCCGCTCAGCCGTCCTTCCCAAACGCAGGAATGAGGAAGCCTCCAAAAGGATGTTTGGTTGTGGAAAAGTTACATTAGCAAAGCCGGTTGGGTTTAAAATGAACAAAAAAAGGTCAAAGTATTGGCCGTATGTTTCTGTCGTGGACGCAAACGCTGTAGAGTATACTGTAGTTGCACGCTAGTGAGCTGAAATTGCTTTGTTTGGTTATTTGACCTTGTTAATGCGGAGATATTGCTCTCTGAGCCCACACCGCCAACAGGTCAAAGGTCAACTCTACCTCTTTAAACACTTTCCTGACACCTAGACAGCTGTATTATATCACCACAACAGCCTGTTGTAACACCCACATGCCTCTGTTTGTTCAGCATCCTCCTGTTAGCTTCTAACCGCTGTTTCGTCAGTATTCAGTATCGCTAACATGTGTTTTCACACAGTTAAATGCCCATCCTGCCATCAGGACGAGACGCCTGGGCGGCACACAGAGCCAAACAAACAAACCGGCATGTAGCTTATAGTTGGAGAATGGCAGCTGGGCTGATTGGGAGGGCAGGAGACACAATTGCCAGTCGTGCAAGCTTTCTGTAATCCCCCTTCCCTTTCGTCCTCTCGCTTTTTATTTGTGTTTTAAATGTCAGTGTATAAAACGCGCACGAGATATTGCCACTCGGAGGGAGAGGTGGTACGACGAGAGAGGACTGTTGTGTGCCTTGGGAAATCCTTGTAAGCAGCATGAAGAAGGCACAAGGATTTTACGGAGAAGAAATAGGTGTTTATTGACTTCTCCTCTGGGCTTACGGGGTAATAATAGACCTGTCACATTACGCAAATGTGGAAAAGCGGCTTCTGAATGCGTCAAAAGCGCGAGATGAAGCGCTGGATAGAATTAGTCAGCCGACAGGCTTTAGACACTAATACAAGTAATTAAAACCGTGAGCTGCAGCATTTAGATGCTCGTGCAGTAAATAATTTATATGCCATGAACTATGGATCACTTTCCCTGCCTTTCCTGGACAGGAAAAGGGGCAGATTCATCAGTGTCAGCGAACGAGCAGGCGTTTACTTTTTTATGTAAATAAGTCATTTTTCAAAAAGCTCGTTACTTGGCATGTCTAAGTACACGCACATGATCTGAATTGAGTTTTTGTAAGCATTTAAAAGCACAGCTATCAAAGAGATATAAAGGAATATTCCATTGGAGGTGAATGGAACCAAGGTGAATGGTTTCAATATTACAGCCACAAGACGAGAACAAGATGCGTGTTAACATGATTTTAGTGTGAAAAACTGCTTTCTAACCTGTGTAAAGTAATATCCAATTTTACAACTGTTGCTGTTAATGTACCTCCATAAACCTTAAAACAACTGTAAAAATGAAGATTTAAACAACTTTAAAGCTCAAATAATACACAAGTTTTAACAGAAGAATTGCTTTTATAAAATTATAAGCTTCACATTTCTGCTTCAGAAATTGGCCCCATTCACTTCCATTGTACGTACCTCACCGTAATCTTGATTTTTTTTTAACCTTATATTATAAGAAAAGTAGGGATGGTCAACAAACTATTGATTGAGCTTAACTGGGCAAATGAACATGGAATATTCCTTTAAGCATAGTTTTTGGGAAATAAAGGTTAACTAGATATTTAGACATTTAAGAGCACTGAATAAGTTAGTAAAGAAAAGGATCGACAGCATTGATTAACTACAGCCTGAAGACATCACTCAACAAGCACTGATTCATATTGATTCATATGGCTAACACGAGGCAAGGATGGCATAAGCAAATGTAAATATTCAATATTTACCATCCTCTGGTGTTATTAGAGTCAGGGGCTCGGTCATGGGCCACCAGTTATCACAGACCTTCCTCATTCAATATCACTTGGCTTCCTCAGGAAGTATCGCACGGCAATTTGCAGTCACGCTGTGTGCCGGGAATCCATTCTCTGAGTATACAGACGGCTGCGAAACTACAATAGATACACGAAAGTGTATCCACCTAGGCTTTGCTTTTCAACTAATATCTTTGCACAGAAGGCGAAAAATATTAAAACAAAAGGAAAAACTTTTCCAAATACAAAAGCCATATTTGCCCAAACCGGCCTGAATATATTAAAAGCGAAAGGCACCGAATCTTTAACTTCCGCATAATTAGATACACAAGGGTGTGACTCTTGGAGAAGGTGTTGCCATTGTTATACTCTGTGAAAATATTAACGATGAGGGTTAGCGCTAATTTTCCCTTCCTTTAATTAAATGCACGGGGTACTAATGAGGTAAACCACTAGCTGATAGCACTTATTAGCAGGGAGGAGGGCACGCTCTCTCTCGCACTTAATTTAAACCTAAAAATACGGAGCCTGGCAGATTTCAAGCACTTACATAATTTGAGGCAGCGCGTTTGTATTGTGGGGATGTGAGAGAAATAACACTTCGGCACTCAGTGGGTAAGTAAACAGGTCTGGTAATAGGGTATGCGACGTGCACGATGCCGCTGTGACCTTTACCAAATCACCGACAATAGCGATGCAGCGCAGCTGGAATCAATAATGGCAAATTATCTTGGAGGGGTACAAATGACAGCTAGTTAGGATACGCAATGCTACAGGAAGAGTTGCTATTTGGTTTCTGCGGAACTGTATTGTAAATAATCCAATAGAAAGTTTCCAAAAGCTTTTTATTCTTCGTTTACCATGTTTATTTTTGACTTTGTAAAATCTACAGTGAGGCTCTTATAACTAAAGTGAATGGGGCAAAATCTATAAATGTTAAAACTCACTTTTTCACCACAAAACATTAACAATGTGAGTTATCATGAAAGTGATAAACGGATTACTAACAGTTTCTGTGTAAAGTTACATCTAATTTTTCTTTGTTGCCATGATAATGTAACTCATAAATCCCTAAAACGACTTGAAAAATGATGATTTAAACAGCTTTATAGCACAAATAATACACTTTAACAGAACAATTATAAGCTACACATCAAAAAATGGCCTCATTCACTTCCATAGTAAATGCCTCATTGCAACATTGATTTTTGCCTTTTTAAAGACAAGGAACAAGTCAATATTAATTTTTGTGTTCAAGGATATGAAACAAATGCTATCAGTAGAGCACGGAATATTCCTTTAATATGTCAATATCTTTTGACAGCAGAGATTTCAAAGTTGCCCATCAGAGGAGCTGTGGTAATGTAGCTTTAGACAACAGAATGGTTTCAGGTCTGAGGTATTTTGTTTGGTTTCTTTTGGAGAAGGGCAGGCCTGACAGGTTGAAATTTTACTGACAGCTCCAGAATTACATTGCCAAATCAAACAGAGTAGCTGGAACAGAGGAAATCTTTTCCAGAGCACCATGTATTATGGATGGACTTAAGACATTAGCGAGGAACTGCTCACCTGCAACGGACGCTGTTTGTCGTTGTTCTTTGGAGATTTCAGGCCACTGCCTGGTTGCTGTAGGAGTAATTGCCTTGCTGCTTGTAGGGCCTGCAAAGAAACGAAAAGAGAAAAAGAGACACAAAATTAGTTTTTTTCCCCCCATCCTTCTCCCTCCCCGGCACACTCAAATATCAAACACTGTGAAAGGTGACATCAACCCGGCGCATTCCATCCACTACACTATTCATTGTTGTTGATGAGCCATGAAGCGTCTCTCAGATATACATTTTTCATGATAATCCACAAAGCCGTGATGAAAGATAAATACAGTTTGTCTAGCACCTCTGAAGAGCACGAGGGGAAAAAACACACAGAGAGTGTCAGTGGTATTGACCTGTCTAGTGTGTGCTCAGCTGAAATACCCACTTCTCTGCAAATTACCGGACCATTTGCATATTCATAATATCAATTTGAAGTAGAGGCAGGCGATGTGAAGTGTTCCTAGAAGCTGTAATTAAAGTTGACAAAATCAACATCAGATTACCTCAGGAGTGAATTAACAAGGAGCTGAGCATTAGCCGGGCCCCTGAGCACAGGGGTGACGCTGGCCCTTCTCTGCCAAATCACTCCAGATACCTACTTATCCAATGTCATACAACAATACAAGAATATTTGGTTGCTAAGGCAGGCGTACCTATAGCTCATACTTGATGTTAGGGGTTTGTTCAAATCTTTAACCCTAATTATTAAACTTTAGAATGTAACTCATCCTGTTTGTGCTGGGGTCGACCGATATGTGCTTTTCAGGGCTAATGCTGATGCGATTATTACAGATCAAGTAGACCGATAACCGATATTTCGAACCGATATATATGTCTGGTGTAAAAATGAAAATTAATATCAAAATTAAGAATAACAAGGGCTGTGACAAAAACTTTAAAAGCTTTTAATTTATTTTATCGGCAAATCGGTTTTGAAAGTAACCGATACGATATCCATAAAATGCTTAATATCGGTGCCAATAATCAGCTGATCCCTAGTTTGTGCTACTGACATGATCGATACCTATTACTTTTTTGTTTATAGGGGATCAAACTAATGATTTATAGCATGTTGGTGAAAAAATGGGTGAAAAAACAGATTTACATTGTATGAGTGAATCCTCTGGGCTCTTTAAAAATTTGACCAATAAGCAACCATATAGCAACCACCCAGACCACCCTATCAACCCCTTAGAAATGTCCTAGCCAGCAACATGACCACATCAATGCTCAGACAACACCTCAGAACACCTTAGTAACCACCACACTCCCAAAGCAATAGCAATAGCACTAACAATCGCCCTCAAAATCCTACCAACTTTTGCATAAGCAAACATCCACTCCTTTTTCTTCAGAAAATGTATTTTTTTTTATTATCTTTTTTCTTAAAAAAAACATGTTACAATATATGTGTGTAAGCCTGATGGCAGGTAGGTTGAAATGATGTACCTTACAGTGTTCCTCATGTATCTACAGAAATACTGATACATGCCTTCAAAGGAAAGCAACTCTTTCCAGACTTCCTGGAGTTGTAATGTCGACTGTAGACAGAAGTGAACAACGACACACGCGCCCCGACACAAGGAGAAAGCAACAAAATAAATAAAGCAATATAAACAACACAATAACTTCACAGGTGTTTCATCTGTCGGGGAAGAGGAGAGTGAAGGTCGAGGGGTGCGAAGAAGAAAAAAAACCCTCCTTCAGATAAAGAATGACACTTCTTCCAGCAGAATAAAGGGCTTGTTATATTTCCTGGTGCTTGCCAGTATCCATGACAACAGCTGCCTTGACTGGATGTGCATATGGCACTGCTCTGCCAGCTGGTGAGAACAATGTTTGAACTAGTACATTGAGATGCTGAGCAAACAGGGGGAGAGAAGGGGAGAGAGAAAGAGAGAGATAGGGGGAAAAGTTGCCACGTCTTAACCCGCTGGGAAGGCAGCCATCCCCCTGATCAATTATGAAGAGACAGGGTGAGGAGCTGCCACTGTCTGTCTGGCTGTGCGGTGAGGAGCCAGGCTCTCCGAGCCCCTGGTAAACAAACACAACACAGTGGCGCTGGGTCCTAACAGCATCGATCTGTCTCCTCTGATGCACACACACACACAGAGCCGTTGTCTGATACTTCAGAGGACACCAGGATGTGGAGGAGAGCTGGACTACTTCAAATCAGTTCCCTGTCCTGTCCTGTCTTTGAATGAACCAAACAGACAACAACCGGAGTCTTGTGCTTTGAATTTGGCATACTTGTCTAACCGGATAAGTTTTGGGAAAAAACAAGATTTCACATTTTGCAAACTAATAATTTTAGTCAATTTTAATCAAATTTTATTGTCACTTATTGCTGCAAAGTGACAATAAATGTTCCAGAATCAGATAAGTCTGATTTGAATGAATCATTTACACTAGTTTTGTGAACATATTTAATGAATCTGATTAATGTTCATGAATTGGCTGTCTGTTCAGTCTATTCTGTATAGAACAATATAGAGTCGTTTAAACTACTTTTATGTATTTATGGTGCTTTTGGTCTTCTGAACCCAGTTTTATGTAAAGAACGGACTGAAACATAAAATTATTAAGAATATTCTTCTGGGTCACTTTTTCAATATAACAAAGGTGAATGGGAACTGGCAAGCTGCAAAGTGACAACAGTTACAGAACCAGATAAGTCTGATTTGAATTAATCATTTAGACTAATTTTGTGAACAGGTTCATAAACCTACTTAAAATTCAGCCTGTTCTTTACATAAAATTTGATCCAGTTTTTGAATGTAATGATTCAAACACAATGGTAAACAGTCACCCGGATGTGGAGGAGAGCTGGACTACTTCAAATCCGTTCCCTGTCCTGTCCTGTCTTTGAACGAACCAAACAGACAACAACCGGAGTCTTGCAGTTTGAATGGGGCATACTTGTAAGTTTTTGGAAAAAAACAAGTGTTTATGTTCTGCAAACTAATCAAGTAGTATACTAAAAAGTTTTTGCAAATCACCCTGTCTTATTTTTCCGTTCTAAACGACGCATTTATCGATTAGTGATGGTCCTCGTGGTACTTTCGGATGCATGAGTGAGTTATAAGTACCCTCGCAAAGTCATTATCGGCAGGACCGCGTGGATGAGATTGTAAATTGCGGGAGATTTCACGCCCATCCAAGCGGTGATTGTGATTGTGTGGCTTTAGTGGTCGGCTAATGGCTTTAGCACAACAATTAACAGGAGGAAATGTTTATCCGCGCCCCGATCGATACAGACTCACTGTCCTCTGATGAATAAAAGGACAAAGTCAAAGAAGTCATTCAATACACGGTAGAGGTCAGGAGAGTGGCGCTTCCCACAGCACACGGACGGAGACGTTTAATGGCTTTTCCATTACGAACGTGAACACTGGGAAGGGGTGGAATGTAATCAACTCCAATTTGCATATTAGAAGAACATTTGTTTAGATCAGTTAAAGGGTTAGTTCTCCCAAAATCACGGGATTATTTACTTCCTCATCCTCATTCCAAACTCATTCTGTTTTCAGTTAAACACAAATTTTATTCTGGAAGACTATTCTGGGCCACTTTTTCAATATAACAAAGGTAAATGGAAACTGGCAAGATGCAAAATTACAATAAAAGTTCCAGAATCAGATAAGTCTGATTTGAATGAATCATTCAGACTAGCTTTGTGAACAGGTTCAATGAATCTAATTATGCATTTATGGTGCTTTTTGGTCTTCTTAGGCCAGTTTTATGTAATGAACAGACTGAAACTTAAGCTGATTCATTAACAAACTGTTGTTAATGAATCAGCTTAAGTTTCAGTCTGTTCATTACATAAAACTGGCCTAAGAAGACCAAAAAGCACCATAAATGCATAAATGTAGTCCAAACGACTCTATATTCTTGTGTAAAGAACAGACTAAACAGACAGCCAATTCATAAACAAATGAATCAGATTCACTGAATCTGTTCACAAACCAGTCTATAAGATTAATTTGAATTGGACTGATCTGGTTCTTGAATTCAATGATCTGAACACTATGGTAAACAGTCCATAAGCCTGCATAATTTTGCAACTGACTGATTAAAGAACAATAAGCCACACAAGCAGTATGGGCTACTATAATGATACTTTTTTGCCATTCTGGAGTCTCAGTCCTCATTCATGTTCAATATATGGAAGAGTGACCAGAGAAAATTTCTTCTTTTTGTGTTCTAAGAATGAAAGAAAGTCATAAAGGATTGGAATAATGGGCTGAGGGTGAGTAAATGATGACAGAACTTTCACTTTTTGGCTGAACTATTCCTTTAATGTTTCCGTCAGAATTGTTAATCTGTCCTTGTCCTGTAATGCTGCAAAAACATTCCGTATTAGTGACAACACCGCATTATACAGCTGATATTCGCCCTTGTGCGAAAATACCCAGAATGCAACACAAAGGCATATTAGGTGTTTCCAGATTCAACACTGGCCTAAGAAGACCAAAAAGCACCATAAATGCATAAATGTAGTCCAAACGACTCTATATTCTTGTGTAAAGAACAGACTAAACAGACAGCCAATTCATAAACAAATGAATCAGATTCACTGAATCTGTTCACAAACCAGTCTATAAGATTAATTTGAATTGGACTGATCTGGTTCTTGAATTCAATGATCTGAACACTATGGTAAACAGTCCATAAGCCTGCATAATTTTGCAACTGACTGATTAAAGAACAATAAGCCACACAAGCAGTATGGGCTACTATAATGATACTTTTTTGCCATTCTGGAGTCTCAGTCCTCATTCATGTTCAATATATGGAAGAGTGACCAGAGAAAATTTCTTCTTTTTGTGTTCTAAGAATGAAAGAAAGTCATAAAGGATTGGAATAATGGGCTGAGGGTGAGTAAATGATGACAGAACTTTCACTTTTTGGCTGAACTATTCCTTTAATGTTTCCGTCAGAATTGTTAATCTGTCCTTGTCCTGTAATGCTGCAAAAACATTCCGTATTAGTGACAACACCGCATTATACAGCTGATATTCGCCCTTGTGCGAAAATACCCAGAATGCAACACAAAGGCATATT